TTTTGTTTTGCCATCTTAATAGTAGCTTGTGTTTGCCAGCAGTGAAAAAGCCTGGTGAGGGGGTGGCAGTGAAATCATGAAAGTTGTTTTCCACAGCTTGTTGAGAATAGAATGTTTTTCCTTGCAGTAAGTGGTCCAAAGCCTGGAAGAAGTATTGGTCAGTTGATGCAAGGTCTGGTGAATATGACGGATGACAGAGAGATTAAGTCCAGCTTCAGTAGTTTGAGCAGCCTTGTTTGTGTGACATGTGGTCCCGTGTTGTCTTGCAAGGGGAGTGTCTGTCTCTGTTGATGAGTCTTGGCTGCTTAATGACAAGTGTTCTCATTCTGTCTAGTGGTTGCAGTAGATACCTGTAATCAACTGACCACTTTCATGAAGTGGTAACACATGATACCAGTGCTAGACTGCCAGACAGACTCCATCAGCATTTTCTGATGAATATTTGGTTTAGGACTATTTTGGCACTTCATCTTTATCCAACCATTGTGCTGAATACTTGTGATTGTCACAAAGAATCCATTTTTCATCACCCATAACAATACATTGTAGAAATGGTTCACCTTCATGTTGTGACAGCAAAAGAAGGAGAACTGCAAAAGGATTTGTCTTCTGAGGCTCATTCATGTGGAAACCATCTGTCCAGCTTCTTTACCTTGCCAGTTTGTTTCAAATGATCCAGTATTGTTGGCATAGTAACATTAAACCTTGCTGCCAGTTCACATATAGGTTGAGATGGATTCAGCTTTCAGCTCATCATTATCCGCCTTGGTCTTGGGTCACCCACATGGCTCTTTTTTCAAGATTAAAATCACCATTGTTTGGCACATATAGCTCAGGCAGGTAAGGCACCAGTCACATACACCAGAGCTGGCATGTTCGAATCCACCCTGGGCTTGCCAAACAATGATAACTATAGCCAAAAAATAGCCGGGCGTTGTGCTGGGCACCTGTAGTCCCAGCTACTTGGGAGGCTGAGGCAAGAGAATTGCTTAAGCCCAGGAGTTGGAGGTGGCTGTGAGCTGTGATGCCATGGCACTCTACTGAAGATGACAGTTTGAGGCTCTGTCTACAAAAAAAAGATTAAAATTACCAGACACCTCATTGATAAGTTGAGCTTTCTGGGCTGCATTGGTTTCATGATGGAGCTCATATCCAAAAACTATATAGAAATTGTTGTAAACATTTTTTTGAAAGATAGTCACAATCGAAAATCTGTGTTTGAGAGAATGAGGATGTACCTTCACAATAAAAAATAGAAAACAATAAGAAGTATTAAAGTGAAGTGTCAGAGACATCAACTGTCAAACTTGGTACTTAAAAAAATCGGACATTTCATGTTTACTAACCTAATACACAAGGCCTTTCACTTTTATTGTTAGGGAAGGCATGACTTCTTGTAACAAGGTCATTCTGACTACTGTGTTTGGAAAACCGGGGCGGGAGCAGAAGTAAGCAGATCTGGCAGGAGGCTATGCAGTAATCCATGAAGAGGAAATACTGATTTGGACCAAAGTGTAGCAGGGGAGAAGTGAAGAGAAATCAGATTCTTAATTTATTTGAAGGTATAGATGACAGAATTTGCAGTTGGATTGGATATAGTTTCTAAAAGGAAATAAGGATGGGTCTAAGCCTTTTAGGTGAACAGTTGGAAGATGAATTGCTATGTGACTGATACGGGGAAAGCTGAATGAGGGGTACAATCAGGAGTTGAGTTTAGTTCATGTTAAGTCTGAGAAGGCTGTCAGTCAGCAGCTGTGTGTAAGTGGGAGGGAGGCTGGGGGAGATCTCTGGAGTATGGGCAGAGAAGAATTTCAAAGCCAGAGAACCCTACTTCACTCAAAAATGTAGAGATCGGGAAGACAAAGAACTGGCAGAAAGAATGGAGAAGTAGTGGTCAATGAGGTAGGAAGAAAAGCAGAAAGGTTTGGTGTCTTAGATGTGGTTCTAATGAAGAAAGTGTTGAAGGAAGAGGGAAGGGATCCACCATGTCAAAGTCTGATAATAGATTATATAAGATAAGGGCTTAGAATTGGCATTACAAAGTGAATCTTTCTAAAAGAGTATGAACGTTTTAACTCAATAACTAAGAAAATGACATGAAGGTTATGTTAACCAGTTTGATGAGAGTATTTCAAAATGTATATGAAAACAGCACACTGTACCCTACGATTGCATTAGTGTACACAGTTATGCTATAAGAAATTTAAAAAATTTTTTTTCTTAAGGTTAAAAAAAAAAAAAAGAATTGACATTACATCAGACAAGGTCATTGGTGTCCTTGACAATTTTGTGAAGAGAGAGCATCAGCATAATTGTAGGGAGTTCAAGGAAAAAGTGGGAAGAAGGGAATTCAAGCAGGAAGAATAGACAACTTTAGGAATTTCTCTTTAAAGGGAAAAACAGAAGTAGTAACGGGAGGGAGAACTGGGGTTTAGAGTTTGTTTTGCATGGCATATCTGTGCGCTAAGTGGAACAGCCCAGGAGAAAGGAGAACTTTATATTTTGCCAGAAATGCAAAGTATGATCTGTTCTCTTTGTTGATTCTACTATTCATGATTTCTGTGATTTTGTATTTTTTCTCTCTCATTGCTTTGAGCTTACATGGTTGGTGTGTCATCTCCTACTGTCACATTTCTTCCCTGAGTCCTTTTATCTCTCTTTGAATTCATTTTAGGAATGCCATTGGCTTAGGCAGCTCAGGCTGCCATAGCAAAATACCAGAGTGGGTGGTTTAAGAAACACATCTGTTTCTCAGTTCTGAAAGCTGGGAGGTCCAAAATCAATGTGTCATCTGATTGATTTCCTGCTGAGGGCCCTTCCTGGCTTGTAGATTTCTGCCTTGTTGTGTTTTCACAAAGAGGGGCAGGGTGTAGGGGAGGGGTGAAAAGTACCCTTGTGTTCCTATAAGGACACTAATGACCATGGCTGCTCTAGCTTACAGCCTCATCTGGCCATATTACCTCTTAAAAGCTCCACCTCTTTGTGTGTGTGTGTGAGAGACAGAGTTCACTATGTTGGCCCTCAGTAGAGTGCAATGGCATCATAGCTCACAGCAACCTTAAACTCTTGAACTTAAGCAGTTCTCTTACCTCAGCAAGAAAAGCAAGAGGCACCTGCCTCAATGCCCAGCTGTTTTTTGTTGCAGTTGTCATTGTTGGTTAGTTGGCCCAGCTGGGTTCAAACCCACCAACTTCAGGGTATGTGGCAGGTGCCCTAACCACTGTACCATGGGCTCTGAGTCAGGCCCCACCTCTTAATACTGGCACTTTGAGGGGTAGAACATGGACCAGTGAATTTTTGAGGGCATGCAAACAGTCCCATAATAGCCATATTTGTTTTGATTGATTATAATTTTTATCTGCTTCATGGTATAACTTTCATGGTATGTTCTTTACGCTTTTTGGTTATAATGTTGCTTTTTTTTGTCCTTGGAAAAACTGTGGTTAAGACTTGTACTGATTCCTTGTTGATTATTGTTTATCTTTGAACTAGCGGTGTTCCTCTTAGATTAGCTATTTGCCCAAGAGAAGAGTTGTGGGGAAGGGGCCAGAGAAATGGTTGGGGAAGGCAAATAGCTTAAATTTTCTCTGGAGGTGTGACTTTCAGTGAGTAAGCAGCCTATGTCACAGCTTTGTCTGTTTAAACTGATAAACAAAACATTCCTGTATGTCACCTGGGGAACCCTTAATAAAAATCACTGGGGGTGAGGCTGGGTATGTGTATTTTTTTTTTTTTTTTTTTTTTTT